GGGAAACGGAGATGAAAGGTATGTATGGCAGGGGTAGTGAGAAAGGGAGAAAAAGACCCCCAAAGAGACCAAATCATTTACAAAGAAAACTAAGTCAATGGAGGTAGATGTTACAAGTTTAAAAAAAAAAAGCTTTGCCCAGTGGTCTTAAAAGAATGCCAAAGGCTCACAGACTTACATGGTCAGCGAGATTTGTGGAGGAGCCTGAAAGTTCTTCGTGGTCTGACTTGGAGCTGCCGTCCCTTTCATCAATGACGAGGTCGATAGGCATTTTCCCCTTCAAACAGCTAATGTACCGGTGGCAGAAGTTATCACACAGTTCATGGACCTAGAGGGAGGGTCATGGTGGAGGGTTCAGCTTGGATTGTGGTGGTTGTTGTTGTTATTGTTTTGTTTCATTTTTAAAGGGAAAAAAATATCAGGTTGCAAGGTTACATTTGGAAAGAGCAACAGTGCCATGTCTTCCAAACTAACTCTAATTAATGGGTGTAATAGTTGAAGGCGGGGAAACAATAGAGCAATTGTTGCAGCAGATATTATTCTCCAGAGACTTCCCTGAGCAACAAGTTACAATAAAGAGAAAAGAAACAGGACTGGAAATAACTGGGTTCAGACTGGGAGCCCAGGGAGGAAAATCGGATTTGATGATAACATCAAAACGCAGAACGTTGGAAGTGGGAACAGCATTAGCATTTGAGATTCAATAAGCTAGGAGTTTTGTATGTTTCCAGGGGAAAGTGATTGAGCTGCAGAGCAATGTAAAGACACCCCAGCCAGGATGATTCCCTCTGCTTGCACCTAATGCCCGCTTTGGGCTGAGGGTGAGCTGAGTTAATAGAGACGCAAGCAGGCTGAATGTCCAGTAACACAAATGGTTTGCTGCATTTCAAAATAATCCTGAATGCCTGGGGAAAAAAGGAGGGGGATGCCACTTTAAAAGGCAGGGCTGTCCTAATTCACCTATCCTCTGAGCCCTGGGGTTGAGGAGCTGTTTAAAGGAAGGACATGGTAACATGTTGCTCAAAATCTCTAGGTGTTCAATCTCAGACTGGATGTTTGTTAAAAACATCCCAACACAACTAGGAGAGGGAAGTAGCTAAATCCAAGTGGGGGATGTCATTCTCTCTTACCTTTTCTAACTCCAAAAGATGAAACCTTAGAACTTGTATTGCTTGTATCATCTGAAAGAAAAGTTCAGAGCATGGAATTAAGGGTCTGTGACTCAGAGGTCCAGATTAGGGGGTGGTGAGGAAATTGGGCTGGGGAGAAGAAACAGGCAAGTGGCCAGGCACAAGCCACAGATCAAGAAATTGTCAGAAAAACCAAGGGATTACTGATCTTCTTTGCCTCATTGGCCACGGGTTGGAATCTGACTCAACCTGAGCCGAAGCATTTAATATCTTTGCCCCTCATGTTCACTGAGCTATTTGTAAGGGCTGCTTTCCTAGAGCCAGGCCTTCTTTCTCCGCCTGAGTCCTCTTTAACCATCCCCTCCCTCGACCTCAGGCCAAATTGAAAAAAAAGTCGCTTCTCTGGAGAGAGAAAGCTTTTTAGAACAGCACACCCAGCGAAATCTCTCCTTACTAAAGAAGGAAATACTCAAGATGAATGGTGAGGCAGGGCCTTTGAAAGCGGATTTAAGTACTTTTAATATTGAAATCGTGCAAATTAGCAAAAGAATCGCACCTAAAAGTGGCCTGCGCTGGCCTGCCCATTACCCCCCCACCTCCCGGCCCGCCCTCCGCCGTGCCAGCGGTTACTTCCTTCGGGTTAGCTGCCCCGGGCTCGGCCGCCTGCCCCGGCAAACAGAGGAAATAACTCACTTCTCGCAGCCTCACTCCCGGGGCCGAGACCTGGGACTCATCCCCTGCTCACGCTCTCCGCGCTGCGGCCCCGCAGGCTGTCTCCCTGGGTTCCGCTCTTCCTGACGTCCATCCCGCCCCTCACTCCCATCTCCCTTGCGGGGGCTCTAAGCTGTTCCCTTCCTCCCTGTCGCTCTTGAGCTTCAAAAGAGGGCTCTGCTGAACTCCCCGGAGCTCCGGGAGAAAGTGGGTGCTTCTGGGCAAGGGAGGGGGCCCAGGCTGGGGGAAGGCAAGAAACAGTGAGTCTTACCAAATTGTCCAGCTCTGGATTTGAGGAAAAAAGTGGCTTTTCGGCGCGAACCTATAAGAAGCAGAGAAAGTCAGCATGAATTGCCACCCCATTTAAAAGAAGGAAAACCCTGTCACCGACTACACTGTAGTGTGTGAGTGGGAATGGCGCAGGGGCAGTGGCAGAGAAGAGGAGAGGGGCTTTGGTAAAATACGTGAAACAAACTAGTGCCTTAAATTAGTGGGGTCGGCTGAAGAAGAACCAGGGCCTTCTGGTCTTGGCCCCATTAGGGGGTACCTGGAACCGCCAAGCGGTAGCTGGGAACTCAAGGCCATTCTCCGGGCCCCGAGTATCCCCTTATTCTGCCGTCCAAAGGGCTGTGGCTCTCAGCCTCCCTCACCTCCGCGCCCGGCGCGGAGCGCCCGGAGAGGCGCCCAGCTTCCTTTCCTCCCGGGCACTGTCGGGGCCTCACAGCCCCTATCCCCAATTCTTGTTCAAGTAGCTGCAGGCGGGGGAAAAGGCCAAGCCCCAGATTAGGAGCAGGTCAACTTTAATTCGAGGGTCGAGCCCCCGTATTCCTGGCTGGGGGGAAAAACAAACACCCATATTTATCTCGGCTTCCAATTCGCCTCCAGGCTCAGGGATGGGGAGGAGGCGTAGAGCGCGGACTGGGCCGGAGGAACAGATCGGGTGTCCCTGCCTTTTCCTCCCCTTTCATGTAAAGCTCTGAGGAAAGGGGAAGAGGAGTGAGGGGCTGCAGGAGGGTGAGTGGGTCAAGAAGGTTGGACCTGCTTGGCGAAGACCGCGATGTCCTCGTTGAAGGAGTCGGAGGAGCAGACGTCTCCGCCGGCCACTCCGGGTTCCCGGGGAGTGCAGGTCGCCAGCTCACACTTCTCAAAGACCAGAGCTAACAGAGGAAACAACGGGTGCCTAACGGGCAGCGCCACGCAGAGACACACACACGGAGACGGGGTGCAGAGGGGAAGGAGCAAGAACTGTAATCAACAAGTTTGGAGGGTTCGGATTCCTTCTTTAATACAACAGGCACGCATCACACTTTACAACCCTTCCTCAGCCAGACGAGCCTGGGCCAGAAACAGAAAGGAAAAACGGCCTGGCCCTTTTCCTCAGCTCAGGAGTCCCTCAGGTCAGGTCGGAGAAGCCCCTAGCCACTTTAGCCCGCCAAGTAAAAATAGCCTCAGTTGGAACGGAATGAAACATCCAAGAAGCCCAGGCCGTCTGGAGCCCGGAGTTGATCCAGACCCACTCCGCACACTACAGAGGCCGCCGAACCAATCTCTGAGACCCAGCCCTGACCTCCCAAGAAAGGAACACTCTGTGAAATCAAAAATTGCTTTAACTCTGCATTTTAATGGGCATTTCGGAGGAGGCCGAAGGCTTCACCTACATACACACCCGGAGTGATATTTCCTAAATCTAAACTGGAGAAAGTGCTCGTCTAATCTCTCCACCCCCTTGCCTTATAAACTTGTTTGCTCTACTTCTAGTAAAGCTGGGGTGTGGAGGCCAAAATAATAGGAATGTTAAATGCCGAAGAGCTTCTTTCCAAAGACCACATTTCTCCAGCAGGCAAAAATAAATAAATCGAGTGTTAAAACTTGGAAGCGTGCGTGCGCGTCTGCCCTTTGTGTTCCTCCGGGCGGTTTAGCTACACTTGGGGATGCTTGCGGCCTCTGGCTTCAGGCTCAGTTGCTGTTTACCGACTGTCCCCTCCCCTCGGCATCCCGCCGCCTTCCTCACCTACCCTTAGCTGGGAGATCCCGAGTGGTACACGTTTGGACTGTGTACCCCCATCGCTCACCGAGTTCTCTCAGAATATAAAATAATTTCCAGCCATCTCCTTTACTCCCCCTAAGAGCGGCTCTGTGCAAGCAGCAGTCCCTTCCACCCCGCTGCACTTCAAGGTCTGCCCCCTTTATTTACAGAGAATTAAGAAGTGGGTGATTAGGACTTCCTGGCCGACAGAAGCAGCCCTGATCCCAGCTCAAGCTGCCTTTAGTGACTCCCAGACTCTCGGTAGGAAACAGAAGAGAAAAAAAAAAAACAAAGTTGCTCCTCATCAGCAGGAAACTTTCTCCTTCGTCAAGGCCTCTCTTAGGGGGCCTGAAAGGACCAGCTTTGCGTCCTTTGGCCAGGATTCCCGTCCTTGGGGAGAAGGCCCTGGCAAGATTCTGAGGATTCAGTCACTCCGGGCTGTGGGGTCCGGAGTGACAGGGCCGTGGGGGTGGAGGAAGCCATACCTTCCAGGGACTTACACTCAAGGGGCAGAAGAGCAGGCCCCCTTCACTGTCCTTTCCTAAGGCAAGCGGTCCCCCCCCCCGCCCCCCGGCAGAAATCACTCCCCTCTTAGTCGTCCACCCCCTCAACCCCCACAGAGACAAACAGACACTCGCAACCGTACTCACACACAGTATGCTGGGTCGGGTCAGGGGTGGGGGGGTTGGTTTACCCATAGATCGCGTCCTTGTCCCGCTTCAAGGCGTCGTTGACAGCGGATCCCATGCTGGCCGGCATGACATTGGGGTGCGGGGCGTGCGCGCCGTAGTGCTGCGTGGCGTGGAGCGGCGGCCCGTGGTTCAGGTGGTGAACCGGAGGGATCGGCCGCGGCGCGTGAGGGTCTCCGTACATGGAAGCAGGCACCCCTACTCCATCCATCCCGCCGTAATGGGGCAGCTCATCGTACTGTCAGAACCCGGCACAGGGGAGGGGGGCGCAGGAGGTGAGAGAGAGCGAGGAGAGCCGAGGGGGAATAGAAAAAGAAGGAGGAAGAAGAAAGCGAGGAGAGAAGTGGGAAAGGAATAGAGATGAGAGAGAGGGAGAAAGACGAAGGGAAGAAGAAGGGGGGGGAGGCAGCGGAGAGGGGGAGAGACAGAGGGAGGGAGAGAGAGAGAGACAGAGAAACAGAGGAAAATAAAAATAAAAACAAAGTCAGAAAGGAGAAAAGTAACGAGCACGAGTTGAACACACAGAAACCAAACCAGCCGAAACAACGGAGTTGAAAGTTGTGAGGGAAAATGTTTTCAAATTTTAAAATGAAAAAGTGGGAACGAAGAGCAGCGTTGAGAGCCGGGAGAGGGGGCGGTGAGGCCGGGGACTGAGGGGGCGCCGGGAGGTCCCGCTCGGGCCGGAGGCAGCAGAACCGTAGCGAGCCAACCGAGGGAGAAGTGGAGTTAGTGTGAGGAGGAAGCCCCGGATCCCACCCCTAACCCCCCTTCGCCTCCTCCAGAGGATCCAATAAATCAAAAGGCGAAATGAAACAAAATAAAGAGAAGAAAAACGCTAATAATCAGGACGAGAACGCCGAGGACGAGGGAAGACTGGGGCCAGTGGCTCCCCGGGGGCAGGGAGCGGAGGGAGGGGGAATAACGTGAAAGTTACCAGAAACATTATTTAGCAGCGGATTCCCTGCGTCCTTGTCAATTTCAGAGACAAAACAAGCAGCCCAGGCTAGTCTAGGCGGCGGCGCAGCGGCTGCGGCAGCGCGGCCCCAGCGGCGGCCCCGGCGGCGGCGGCGGCTCCTACGCGGCCAGTGCCCGCCCCGAGCCGCGGGAGCGGCGGCGGCAGCGGCGGCGGCAGGAGAACCGGGGGAATCGCGCTGCTGGGGTAAAAGCTGGAGCGAGGCGAAAGCGTGTAACAATTGCACACACACACACACACACCACTCACACGCACTCGCCGCCCGCCCGCTCGCACAGCGCTGGAACACGCGCGCCCAGACACGCACACACGCACGCACACACACTCGCACACACGCAGAGGCACGAGGGGGAAAAGAAGCCGATGAATAATTTTGCTGCTATTTTTTAAATACTGTCCGCCATCATCAAGCAGCGAGCAGCAGCAGCAGCGTTGAAGGGAGAAGAGGCATCGGGACAGGCCCCTCTTAGGAAAGGATTTATATCTAGGTAAGTGTTGGAGATTTAAACCTACCCTTTGCGCCATCAGTCTGCGCTCCAATAAACTCCTGGATGTGTCGTATATTTAATATCCCAGTCCGGATAAGAAAGTGATCTAGGCTGAAGATTCCTTTTTTTTCCAAACCAAGGAGACTTCTCCCAATTCTCCAATTTGTTATTTTTAGGGGGGGAAAAAAAAAAGCCCAGGCAAGACAACGAAGAGTTTTTTTTTCTGTGATATTTCTTCTTTTTCTCTTTTTTTCCTCTTCTTCCTCCTCCTCCTGATCTTCCTCCTCCTCCTCCACCTCCTCCTCCTCCCCCCTCCCCTCCTCCTCCTTTTGGGTCCTCCTTTCCCCCTTTCTCTTCTCTTGCCCTCAGTTGGAAAAAAAAAAAAAAAGAAAAAAAGAAAAGAAAAAGAAGAAGAAAAAGAAGAAAAAAAAATTGTCAAGCCCCCGAACTGAAGGTTACGAGCGGCCCGTCAGCAGCCCACATGTAACCGAACTGTCGTGTTTCATGGCTTTTTGCCACTCCAGCTGTCAATCAAAGCCCGGAATGTCAAGGTAGTGAATGAATGATGGTTGATGATGATGAAGAGGAGGAATCTTTCAGACCGGTTTTTTTTTCTTCCAGTAAAACTCCACGAGGGGTTTCTGCTTCTTGAATTTTTTCCTCCCCCCTCCCCCCCTCCTTTAGTTTTGCCCCCGCGGTATCTATAATATGATCCTCTCTCTTTAAAGTATCGTTCAAAGAAAGCAGGGGGGGAAAATCAAGAAAAAAAATGAATAGTTTGCAAAAATTGGACTTCCTCCCCCCCTCTCCTGGTAGGTATTTTGTCTCTCCCTCTCTCTCTTGCTCGCTCGCTTGCTCTCACTCGCGCTCGCTCTCTCGCTCGCTCTCTCGCGCTCTCTTTCTCTCTCTGGGAGATGAGTGAGTGTCAGTAGGTGTTGGCAGGTTGGCTGCTGCCTGGCTTATAGAAGAGCCTCAGTTTGGCGGCGCGGGTCGGCGGCGGGAGAACGAAATGACGGAACCCGGAAGTCGTGGTGGCCATAGCCCGTCGTACGGCGGAGACACATCCCGGGAGTGGGGAGCGGGAGCGAGGAGGAGCGCGCCGCGCCGAGCCTCTG